ATGCAGGTTTCCCATATGGGGGCTTTCCTCAAAGGACTTTGGCAACTCAGTTATAGTATTAGGCTTATGATAAGACATTTTTAGTCCTAATCTAATGTAATCCAGCAGCCTGTAGCATTAGGCTTTATATTTGATGTTGTTTCCCACTAAGCAAGCCCAATTTATTAATTTATGTTGTACTTCTTGCATTTAGATTAATGCCATGGATAATTGCATTGCATATTATGGATCCGTTTGGCAATTGAAAAATAACTTGTTGGAGAAAAATTTTTTTAGTGTAAAATATTTATAAAAAATTTAATTTTTTTTATTATTCGGATAAATTGTTGAAAACAATGTCTATCGTTTGGATCATCTTATGGAAAATATTTTCCACCATCACTAGTGGAATTATTTGAATGTTAAAATGATAAATAGGAGCTGATTACAAAATAATGGTGTCATTTTGTTTTCATTAATTTGTGGGATCAAAATTAAGAATAAACATAAAAATAGACAAAATCAATAATGATATTTCTCAAAACATTTAACTACATATTTATAATTAAAGTCAGCTCTAGTTTTCAAACAATTTTATATTTCATCACTTTTTAACCATAACATTTTAAAAATATAAATATCATCAATTGTGTAAAACATTTAAAACCTACTTTGTGTATTCATTAAATGATGATCGATTGAAATATTTTTTATTATAATTATTAGTAAGATTTATTCAATTTATAAATGAAAAATTAATTGCATTGAATGATTGTCTTAAAAAAATTTATTTTTTTAATTTAATAATATTTAATAATTTAAATATTAATATTTTAAGTTAAAAAATTTTTAGTTAATATATTTTTTACTTTTTTAATATTTTAAATTAAATATCAATAGTCATCAAACCAATATTCCTATGCTTGGAAAAGAGTTTTTTTTTTTTTGGTTCTTTGAAAAATGTCAAATGTAGTAAGACATTTTTCATGGTCAAAGGGTGTTTTTCTTATTTATTTGTAAAGTGTTTTACATTTGTAATTAATTTTTCACAGATATAAGTCTTGAAAATGTTTTTCAAAATATTTTACGTCAAAACAAATAGACCTGACCTTTTCTCTTATCTTTTTCATTTTATTTAATATTTTTGTTAACCAATTTAATATATGGTGTTTATTACTTCTTTAAAAAAAATAAATTATTGGTTATGCATTCTTATAAATAAAAAGCATGGTGTTTATTGTTTTTTATTAAAAAAAATTATATAGCGTTTAATCTTTTTTACCAAAAAAATAAATTATGTGGTTCTTGTTTATTACATTTCTTAAAAATAAATCATATGAACTGAACTATCTATTTAAACAAGATGGGGTTGATTTCGACTTGATTGGTTACTTTTCAACTTTGAACCATTTCAGCTCAAGATGAGCTTGAATACCTCAATTTGGATTGACTGATTTTCCCTTATGACCTGTACCGATACT